TAGAGAAAAGAAGACTGACACAAGAGGACAAACAGGAAATATGTAAAAACTCAGATACAATCAAAAATACCTAGAACACAAGAATGAAAAATAAGACCAATGAAAACTCGGAGATAAAAACTAGAACAACACCAAAACCATGACTGTTTATATTTAGGAAGATAACAGGAAAGGAAGGCTGAACACAAGAGCATGCCACACCTTTTAGATTTTTATTATAAACATTGTTCACAGTTTTTCTGCATTAATCATAGCATCATAATACCACTAAAGGTAATAACTGCAGGGACATTTTGCAACACCTGAAGGCATTACATGTGCATGCTTCCTGCGACTGTTGCAGAAAAATGTGAATTTTTAATTAAATGAAGCTGCCTTAACCTTTGCTGTATGCTCAGCCTGAGGCATCAATCTGGAGGAATGACGTGTTTGGACGACAGTAAAAGAAACTATGGTCTGTCAGAGAGTCAGCCACCAATCTGAGCTTTGTTTCAGTTGGATGAACCCACCTCACCTTCTGCCCGAAGGACGACCAATCAATCAAAACCAAATGAGCTGATTTGGAACATCAAGCATCCTAAATATGACCGGGGAGCTAAAAGCTGAAGTCCTTCAGCAACCAACTAAAGTTGGTATTGATCTGCAGATAAATGCAGATTAAAAAGGGGGAGAGAGCAAAAATTTAATTTTCTAAAAGACAAACTAGATGGAAAGACTCCGCTGCTGGCAGGCCGCCTCCCGTCTGCAGCCAAAGCCTGAGATGTTTCTCTGTTCAGAAATCAAAATCACTGTAATCCAGATAATGACTGCTCATCAGTCCGCTCACACAACCACTTCTTCCCAATCACAAGCAGCCCTCACAAATTAATGCACGCTCTCGTTGGAAGTGCTCGCTGCAGGCAGTTTGATCTGCAGCCGAAGCGATTTATCCTCCGCACTCAGCCAACTCCCAGTTTAACATCAGATCAGCTCCAGACGGCGCCGGGACAAATGTTGATGTCCGACCAAACAGAGAAAACTTTAACCAGACCTTTGAAAAAAGCTGAACTGATTCTCTGTAATTTTAGGATAAAAAGTTTTTTTCATCACTGTGTGAATATTTGTTGATAACGACCGTAGCTTAAAACTTTTCCTGAATGCTATATTTGTTTACTGAAATTTACATCCTTTTAAAGAGAAGTTCATTCTTTTATATCAGCTGTG